GTTTAGGAGGAGTGGAAGCTTTGACTTTAGAAGATTCAGTACTAGTACCTTCAGTTTTAGAGGAACCTTCATTAATCGCAGTATTTTTGTTAATCTCAGTAGGTGCCGTAGAATAATTAGTCGTTGCGTAATACTGAGCAGATTGAAATTGTTGGGGATCATGCCGTTCATAACTGTGATCTTTACTCTTGAGTTTTTGTTCTCCTCTGGTAATTGCACCAATGCTTTCAATGCTTTTAGCAACTGTAGCAACTGTAGCAGTGAAGGCTTGTTTTACCAAACTCTTTTTTTTAGGCTCTATTCGTGTAAAAACCTTAGCATGAGTGAATATTTTGCGTTTTGAATCATCATTTAAGTCTCTTCCAATTAATGGAAAAGAACAAATGTCGACAAAAGCTTCTTCTATATCATCATCGTCACACAGTACTTTCATATATTTCTTTGATATTCCATAGCCATATGAAAACCAACGAAAATGGACAACTGGTTCCTGAACTTTGAAACGGAAAAAGAATATTCTAATAACTTCAATAATTAATTCGACGGCTTTTTCTTCAAGTGATGAATTTTTTTTAGGATCTTTGAATGAACGATATCGATTTATGGAATTGTTAAGTTTTTCTTGACATTCTGCAATAAACGAATGCAAACCATTTCCAGGTATGTCAGCGAATCCACGATAGCCAAGTACAGCATAAATTTGTTGACGCAATTTTATCGGTGCTGCTTGGGTTACATGATCTGATCCCACACGTTCATATGACAACTTTTTAATGGACTCGATCAATTCATTTGTTTTATTGAAAATGTTAGATTCAAGTAAAAATGAATGATTATCCATTGTATTAAAATAACTATTTGCAAATGATAAAATTTTCGTTAAGACGTGGCGCTGCAGGACTGCTTTAATTAATGGTTTATTTGGAGTCTGTGGGTCGATTTTCGTTTTGGAGCTATATGTTTCTAAAAGTTTGTTTATTCTATTAAAATCGATATTAACACCACCTTTTAAATTACTAACGTAATCCTCTATTAAGTCTTGTAAGTTTTCGATATCGGCATTAAGTTGCGTAGTGCTATTTTTATCATCATCATTTAAACGAAAAGTAGTTGCGCTACCAAGTGCTACTTGCAATTTAGATGCCTCATCCCTTAATTCTTTAATTTTCCGATCCTTTTGTTCGTTCAGATGGTTTGAATTAACGAAATTAAGATAATTCCGATCTTTTTCTTTTTGAAGTTGAGAGATTGATTGCTCATGTTCACTAATCTGTTGAACTAAGGAAACTCTTTGTTTTCCATACTCCCTTATATGATGTTCAAGAACTTCAATGGTTTCCCGATTTCTTGTCATAGTAACATTACGAGTAGATATTTCTTCTTCTAGAGCTTTTTTGTCATTTTCGAGCCTTCTATTATTCTCCATAAGTTCCTTATTTTTATTATTTAAGTTTCCATTTTCTTCTAAAATACTATTCATTTGATCCGTAAATTCCTGGTTACGAATTTGTAAATCATTTTCTCGTTTTGACAGTTCTTCGGTTAATTCCGCAAGTTC